TAATGATTTATATTTTTCTTTTAATTCAGATAACTCGGAGTTTAAAGCATTGAATTTTTCTTCAGAAATTTTGGATGCAGATTGCAAAGATTTAACCAAACTCAAATGAYCAGCATTTTCAAGATAAACTTGTATACTTCTTTCTCTTAGCGTTTTTAGTTGATCTTCAAGATTATGTGAATGCTCTTTTTCTGATTTTAATGCTTGCTGGTAATTTTGAATATGGATTTTCATCTTATTAATCTGTTTAATGCATGTTTGATGAATTACCTCATCATTCATCTGAGAATCTTCTCTAGTTAATGCACTTTCAGTATTAGCCATCAAGCACATGTGTGCAACAGCCTCAGCCTCTTCTTCCTCATCAGTAAGATTTAGCCAATGCTCATCCTCGGCCATCAGAGCTTTGCCAGCTTCTTTTTGCTTGGACAGAAGAAATTTGTTCTTGTAATAGTCGGAATCTCGGTTTACCGGCTTCTTACAATCAATAGCAAAATGACCTAACTTGCCACAGTTAAAGCATTTTGTATGCTATTCAGCTACTGCTTTGCTATATTTCTTTCCTTCTTCCGGCTTTTGCTCGTACTTCTTCTCGAATCTTTTCTCTTCGTATTTCTTCTTCTCTCCGAACTTGTCCTTGTAGTCATACTTTGATCCGGATGAGAATCGTTGATTATTCGAGTGTGGCCGTTTGATGAAACTTATACTTCTTGAAAGCTTTGGTCAGCATTACCATAGCTTGCTTTACTTCAGAATCAGATTCTGAGCTGTTACTATCTTCTTGCTTAGATTCGGTTGACGAACTAACTTCAACAACCTTCTTTCCAGCTCTGCTTTTATACTTCTTTTCCTTTTTCTCAGTTATAAGAGCTAAGGGATCATAAACTTCYTTTTCCTTCTTCTTAGATTTACAGATCTCCAAAACATCTTGTTCATTCTGTTTCAGAGTTTCATATATTTCATGTATATCAATATCAGATAACTGTTTGTTGAATCTGATATTATTTGCAAATGGTTTCCACTCAGGTTGAAGATTGTTAAGGAACTTAACATTTATCTCAATAGTAGTTTTGGAGATACTGTTCTTCATTAGCTCATTCAGCAGCCTGACAAGACGGTTATACACATCATCAAGACTTTCTCCCTCTCTAGCCTTAAATTCCTCATACGCAGAAATGCAGTTAGTGATCTTCAGTTGAGTTCCAACTTTAGATCCCATCATCATTTTCTCTATTTGAATCCACATGTTGTGACCTGATGATTTATAGTTATCAATACTGGTATATATATCATTGGTCAGTGCTTGCATCATGTACGATTTGCAAAGCACGTCAGCATGTGCTCTCTCTTTTTCTTCAGGAGAATATTGATCTTTTCGTTTTGGTAATCTCTGTGCAGGAACGCCTAGTACAGGATCAGAATCTGACTCTAAAAAGTATTCAGCTGGACCTTTTAATAGAGATTCCATGATCTRTTCTCCTTCTTTCARTCTTTCAATAAAATTCAAGAATCTATCTCTCCATTGATTGTAATCTCCTCTAAAAAGTACTGGTGGCTTGGTRTCAGTACCAATAGCCATCACTTCTTTTGAACTCATCTTTGTAGTTTGTATGAAAATTAGGATCGACTGCAGTTCAAAGTTTGAATTTAAAAGATCAGTTTACCAAAAATATATTTGATAAAAAGTAAACTGTAATAAGCACACATTCAACACTTAGACAATTAAGCACAAAAAATATTTGTCCGGATTAGCAATCCGTACACGTTGTCGGTTTATGAGTCCGGTCAAAGAGATGGTCAAAACTAACACATTATCCGGATTAGAAATCCGGTCAACATATGAATATAAACCGCACAAGTATAAAGACAGATGAATCGATCAACAAGTCAAACTTACTAAATCGATCAAAAAGTCAAAATTATTACACCGATCAAAAAGTCAAACTTATTAAATCGATCAAAGAATTCAAACACTTGAATCAATCAGTCAAAAGATATGAAATAGATCAAAAGTCAATCACCGTTCAAAAGTCAAACACCGTTCAAGACAAATACCGCTCACTTACCA